TACAATGAAAAGAAAAATTCCCTGTATTAGCATCTACTCACATTCGTCATTTTACAAGAAGAATGTGCCACTGACCTCTGCCACTGGGATTTGAAAACACTCACAACACTTCACCTTTATGCTGGGCTAAACTCAGGGTAGTCGTAAACACTTGGAAGTAATACAAACCTAAATATTCCTGCTAGGCCAACGGAGCAGTGGAACCGAATTATAATGAGCTAGCAGCTGTCACAATATGACCACAGTAACCAAATCAAAATATCAACCGCTAACCCAGATGAGATTCAAAGGTCATCCTATAAGCCAGCAGCTTTCTTCAGTTCTGCCTGAAACCCCGATCTAATCCTGCAGTAAAATGTTCCACTGAGCTAGTTTAGAAATCAGTTACTCTATGGTGGGAAATTATTTAGGGCGCTGGCTGGTAGAGTACCGTTACTGGGACTAGAACCAAATACCACAGTAAGGAAACCGAACCATTCCCAATGGGACGCATAAAGACACAGCAGCTGATGTTGAGCTAAGCTGCACCCAACTGTACAAAAGTATCACTTTTCACATCCTTCAGTTACCGATGCATGTCTATAATCTTACTGGCAACTTGCTCACTCAACAATCTGGTTTTCAGTTAAGGCTCTGAAACAATAGAAGGAAAATGCATGCTTAGGGCCTTCCTCGGATCAAAAAGTTTTAGCTAGAAAATATATTGTTTCCCATTGTAAAAACATTTGGACAATTACCTGCAAAAGTTTAATGCTTGCAAGAAAATAAGCAGGGATGGGAATGTTAAAAAATCTATACTCTTTGCATATAGCTCTTGTCAGTATTTTCAAACTATTCCATAGCATATAGTCCTCTTAAAAACACAAGACTCAGACCCATGGCCCCTCTGTCCCATCAGCATATTCTGAAAGCTACTCACCGACCACCTATAAAAGTTTAATCAAACTGTTTAAAAACTGCAGCGAACAAGTTTCCAACAGATCAAGCATACATTTTCATCATTAATAACCATAAGTAGTCACAAAGAAAAAGCAATTTGTTTTTCCCAGATGCGAAACGGGACATGACATTTCAAAGAAGCAAAAATGCAAACTGGCTTGCTTGTCTCTGCCCAATGAAAGTGGTGGTCGAGGATTCAGGAAATGTCAGGTGAAAGAGTAGAATACACAAATATCGGATCGCTTTGTTGTACACCTGAAACTAATATAGTGTCATCTGTCAATTCTACCTCAATAAAAAAAATAAATAACATTTTAAAAAGAGAGTACATCTATGAATTGGTCAGTGCAGGCAGTTAATTAGAAGACTCACTGCTATGCTATAGTCTCTCCACTCCTCCCGACTCTCCCACATGAGAAGGAAAACAAAAAGTCATGCACACTTATTTTGTTCTTTAAATTAGGGGCTGCCTTTTTAATTTATTTTTGCTTATTTTATTTTGTTTATTTATTTTACTTGTGTTGCTTATTTGTTTATTCTAGTTATGTTTCCCTTTATAGGATTTACACAATATCAACTTCCAAAACTTTGTATGGCAACTATACCTACAGATAATAATGGAAGAAGTGGTGCAGCCTTATAAACCGAGAGGGGTCAGTAATCCCAGCAGAATAGGCGTGTGTGTGCGCATGCGTGCACATGCCCCCATGCAGGCATGCAAGTGCGCTTGTATGCGTTTGTTCATGTTTTGATGTAGGGATTCACGAACTATCAAATAGGATATTGCATTCAGATATGCAGGCTTAAAGAATAAGCTAATGGAGATACTCTATTACTCTTATATGTCATTCTGCAAAAATCTGAGATACACAAATAAGTTGAGTTTTGGCATTTTGGTGCCAAACCTAAGTATTATAGCACAAAAATTGGAACATTTACGCAAAATCATTCCCGTGAAGTCAAAAAAGTCAGAGTTGTAATAAAGGGCTTTGTTGCCGTAAGAGTTTATGAGCAAATGTTAGCAATGCCTGTATCATTTCTCCAAAATAGTGTATTGCCATTAAGAACAAAATATATAATAATAATGCACTCCCAAAAGGAGAGAGCAGTTCATTACTTTTTTCTTTCCTTGCAATAAAATAAAACCCTGCTAAATAAACAGTTTACTTAAAAAAAAAAAAAAATCAGGTCATCTGCAGTTAATAACTCTTTCCTGTAAAATTAGTGTCACTTGTTTCTGTAGCAGACGCCTAATTCAGTCACAGGCTTGATTGATTTGACAATAGAGAATCTGGTCCAATAAAGTGGCTGATTTATTTGTTATGCTATAGCTTTTACCCTAATATGACATCACGGCAGAATTAAATCTTTGACATGTAAAGAAATCCTTTGTAGTTTTAATGAAAACTAAAGATTCTAAAAGCAGGTATCGACTGTTGTCAAAAACTTCCAGTGAAGTCTAATGCCTTCTTTTGGTAGAATGAAAACTTCCGCAAAGACCAGGACACCGAATATGGATTTGGACACAAAGAGCAGTTCAGAATAGACCATGTATTCCATGAGTTTAAACTGTTGGCTACACTAATAGATCTTATTTTATCTTCGTCTCCATTTGTAATTGGTTGTCTCTAATTTCTGGAAACAACCTATCTTCTCTTTATAAAAGCACAGCATAAACACCAAGCATGACCTATCTCAAAAGTGGTTTTATTTTAAATAAACAGCAGCTTGGACAAAAATCAATGAGAATCTTTGTTCCCCTAATCTAGCCCTGAGATAGTCAAGCTGATCAAGAAGGCGCTTGAGATGTGAGAAATGACAGGGGTGGCAAGAGTTAATGCGGCATCATGGGCAGTCCTCTAAAAATATTTTTAAATTCTTTTCCAAACTAAAAATGCGAGGTATTTCATAGTTGTTTAAATATCTTTTTCCTTTTTTTTGCAGACTGCGCCATGCCCTCTCACTCTGAGGGTGACTTCCCTGACCCCGGTCTGACACTGTGCTGTTAACGTCAGATAAACCATTTAGCCCCAGCACAAATCTATTCTGTGCAAAAATCTGCTTGAGGTGGAAAATGTAGCAGTTTGTAAACAATAAAGAGCCATGTTTCAGACCAGACAGCTTATCTAACAGAGAAGTCCTTTCATGGGGAACAGTGGGTGGGAGCCTCCCGGACTTAGTAGCATTTCCTATCACAATGCAGGAGACTGTCTTGGCCTTCATATTTAAGAGTTTAATGGGAAGGAGGGCAGACGGGATAAAAGAACACAGCTGACATGGACTTTCAGCTTAAACAACAACTAAGTGAAAAGAGTCAGCTCTCTCTGCTCTGGCTCTAGGCTCTCAGCCCACGTATATTTTAAATACTATTTGGATGGAAAAATGAATTTGACTGGTAAAACAGTTGCCCATGAGGACAGATGAACAAGCACAAATATTTAATATCTTTGTATTGCTTGGCATATTCCGTGATACTAATTTATCAAGTTGTTCTTGAGGAAAACTCTTTTCATGTACCTAACATAAACTTCTAAATATGAGTAGCGATTCATTTATTCTATTTTACTTTCGCTCATCAGAGGAGAGTTTTAGAATCTTCCAAGGGAGTCCTTTAATATGCCGTCGAAGTATTACTTCCCAAGATTATTATTTTCAAGTTAATCTTTTATTCTATTTTATGAAATTGAGCGAGGATGACGTGAGAAGCAAGGTGTTAGAATTTAATATTAGTACTATTGTCACTGAAGAGTCCAAAGTTGTTCTTTAAGATCTCAGTTGACAAATATATCTAGTCTTCTGTATCTGTATTATAATAGGAAAGTTGTTGTACCTCCCTATCAACAACTGATAAAAAAGGGGGAAGCTGGATTTAGGTACCAAAAAAAAAACATATCTATGAAATTTATCATTTTAAAGTAAGTAGGAACACAAGTATAAGAACAACGAATGATCAAACATAAGTTGGAATGATTTTTAAAGGCACAAACATGATATCACCCACTTTAAAATAAGTTGCTAGTATTTCTCTGCTTTGTCTACTTTGTGTTAAATACCTGAAATTCCTTTAGATGGATTTGATGGTAACTTTTGCAAAAAATGACTAAGATTCAAGGACTATCTATACATTAAATAACAAGTAAGCTTCCAAGGCTTAAAAATAGGGACATTCTTTAGAAGCATTTGCAATTATGGTTTCAGAGTGATATAATTACAGCTGTGTGTTTTTCTTGGAGTATGGTCCAACGCCTTCTGCCAAGAAATTTAACTTCATTTATTGATGGATTTGCAATAGAATTTGACCAAGTTGAGAGATTTATTAATATTGCTTAAGAAGAAAACCACATTTACTAGAACAAAGATCATTGTTTCACTCGAAACTCAAGAAACCTGCTATTGCTCATTGCTCAGGTTATTGCTGTTAGACACACATCCCTACAGGGTAAATGAAACAGAAAAATACACAAAAGACACCAGCATGAAGGGCATGCTGAAAACCCGCAAACTATCTCAAGCGTAGCTTGCTTCCAGTGAAGTAAGATACAGTCTGCCTTGACCATCAGCACTAAAAAGCTCACACCAAGATAAATACACAACCAGATCTTATAATTCAACTTGAATACACTACTCTGATTTCAGCAATCTAAACCTATTATTAAAGGGGTTTCCATAACCCCGAACTATATATCATTGCCAACAGACAGGCCCGAAGATATTTTTATTTTAAATATTCACCACTTTGACTTTATCAACCTTAAATCAGAAAACAAGTATTGCAACGTTGAGATTGAGATAAGAGCTTTATACCTAAGGAAGACAAAATTTCCACAGCGATTCAATATCACTGAAATCCTGTAATTCCACATGGTTATAAAACGTAGTCCTTTACACGTGATTACCAAGCATAAACTGTCAGTATTTTTCTGCAATTTAAAATTACTAGAGTGAACTGGCTAAATATCCAAGTCCCTAAAAACAGGTCCTCCATCTGGACTGTATTCTCCCCTTTCTATGGTAAAATATCAGCATTTGAAAAGTGCATGTTAATTTAAAATTGGTCTTACTTTGTATTCTGGAATTGACAAAAGGTGGGGAGAGATTGTCATGTGACCCAAGGTCCCTGCTGGTCATGTGGTCATAGGGAGTCCCATCTCCATAGTTCTGTAAATAAAACAACATCGTAAGTTTTCATTTCGCATGAATAAATCAGCATATAAATGCCCCCCCTACTGACAGCTCCGAGATCCAAAGAAACTGAAGTCCACATTCCCACTATGGAACCTCATTATAAGGGACCTGCCTCTTCACAGGTCCAGTGGGTAAGTGAGGGCTCTAGAGTCTGCAGAGTTCAAGTTTTCCTCATGGTAGCTGTGAAATCGTATAATAATAACAACAGAATCAACTGCAGGAAGTTGTTGACATGATTAAATGAAATAATGTATGTAAAACACCTGACACATATAAAATGCACTGTAAATATTAGAAGTTACTATTTTGGTAAGCCCACATTATTTTTTATAAGATTTTATTTATTTATTTGACAGAGAGGGACAACACAAGCAGGAGGAGGGGCAGAGGGAGAGGAAGAAGCAGGCTCCCCACTGAGCAGGAAGTCCGATGTGGGGCTCAATCCCAGGACCCTGGGATCATGACCTGAGCCGAAGGCAGATGCTTAACCGACTGAGCCACCCAGGCACAGGCAAGCCAAAATTATTTAAAAGAGAAAAAACACAAGATTGTGCCATCAGGGAGAACGACCCATAGCCTATAATGAATTGCTTTTAGAAGACCAAGATAGAGCCTTTTGAACAACATTTGGTTTTACAGTATTGAAATTTCAATGTTTTGTGACAGTTGTTTTTGTGGTTGTAAGAGAACTGGATCATTCCATAAGTAATTAACATGTAAGAACGTTAAAATTATTACAACATGACTATGAAGGAACATCAAAACTTTAGCATTAATTAGTACTTCTGGATTTGGACAAAGCATGCCACAAAAAAAGTTTTAAAGCAGACATTAATTTTTGGCAGAAATTTGTCATGATTATGATTATCTAATTATTTTAATGGAATTTAAAATTAAAATAATGGGGTTTTTTTTAAGATTTTATTTATTTATTTGACAGAGAGAGAGAGCACAAGCAGGGGGAGCAGCAGGGAGCGGGAGAAGCAGGTTCCCACTGAGCAAGGAGCCCAATGTGGGGCTAGATCCCAGGACTCTGGGATCATGATCTGAGCTAAAGGCAGACGTTTAACCAACTGAGCCACCCAGGAGCCCCTAAATAACATATAGGAAAAGTTAAAATCACCTACATTACAGGGTTCAAATTTCAGACTAAGGTGCATCAAGTAACCAAAAAGGGAAAAAAAAAAAAAGTCAATCTGCTCAGCTGGTTGCACTGCCCATAAAGACCAAGTCAAATTTACTCAGAGGTATCAGTTGGCATGTTAGCCAAAGGGCAGAATCTGTCCATACAAAAAAAGACGGATGTTGTATGAAAAATGAAAACACACTAGAGAATAACTGAAACCCTTAAGGTTCCAAATAATCCTGTTTTTGATCACTTTTCCTCATTTAGAAAAATTAACTTGAATGATACCGTAATCTGATGCTGCCAATATGTCAGTGTATAAAAAGATGTCATATTTTTTTAAAATACCTAGCATGGGTTTTGCACTCACTTATTCTATGCCGGGCATTGTATAAGACTAATCTTTATTTATTTACTGTCCTCATCTTAGACAGTGTACTTTAATATACACTACCTAATTTAAACCCCAGCACAGTGCTGTAAGGTAGTGGATAATATCACCACTTTAGGATGAGAGAAGACGGGACTTCGCACAGTTGTCAGTACAAGTCAGCCACAGAAATCTATCACACGCAAACTCCCTGGATTGAGAAGACAGAAATTACAAAATATTGACTCACAATTATTCACCAAAATATGCCCTGAAAAAAAATGGCGGGACAGTTACTGAAAATGAAATCAAAGGACGGTCCTAAGGGACCTCGTTCTCAGAAGAACAATTAAAAGTAGTGTGTGTGTTAAAGTGAGAAATCGTAAGACATTCAGTGTGAATGAGCTAAACAATAGGGGGAAATTCTGTCTTCTCCTACACTTGCTGTCAAGCGGAATGGATTTATTTCTACAAGTGCAGCCTGTAACGTGAGGAGGAGGAAAGATTTCCTCAACCCATCCATATAATGCATTAGGATATCAACCCCGACAGCTGGTGCAGTAGCTCCACAAAGCTCCCAGTAAGTCTACAGACCCTGCCGCACCATGAAGACCAGAGTGACAACCCCAAGGTCAAAGGACAGGTGGAAATGGACAACAGTGGCTTGCTGAAATGTCCTCACTGTGACAGCTTGATTACCTTCCTTGCCTCTTCTGCCAAAATAGAAACACCCCCACCTCAAATTTATGTGACTACTTACAGTAAAATGTTCCCTCCCTGCATAATGCTTCATTTATACAGCTGGCTGGGGGAGGGGCATGTGTTTGTTTGACTATGTGCTCTCGGTCTATTTTTTTTTTTTTAAAGATTTTATTTATTTATTTGAGAGAGAGAGAATGAGAGACAGAGAGCATGAGAGGGAGGAGGGTCAGAGGGAGAAGCAGACTCCCCGCCGAGCAGGGAGCCCGATGCGGGACTCGATCCCGGGACTCCAGGATCATGACCCGAGCCGAAGGCAGTCGCTCAACCAACTGAGCCACCCAGGCGCCCATCTCGGTCTATTTTTAATTTGGGGTATTTAGACGTATATTAGAAAAGCTGACATGGATTTTAGAGGGCCTAGAAATGATTGTATTAAAAACAGATTATACATAAAATCATATATCTTTAAGTGGGAAGGAACATAAAAGATCCTCTGGCTTTACTTCTTCATTTTATAAATTAGAAAAATGAGGACCAAAGAAGTGAAATGATATGCCCAAGGTCATATACACACAAAAATACACATTGCCTAACCACCCCACTCCCATCCCATTCCATGGTCTCCCCATTACACCCAAACTAACAACTAAAGCATGAAGGAAAACCATGAAAAGGAGCAGCAAAAATTTGAAACCAAATAAATGAATGAACCCAACTGGTGACCAAAGGCATTAATACCATGTTTACAAAATGAAATCAACTCTGATTTATTATGTAGATTATACTGATCAGATAGAACTTCATACCCTGTCTTCAGAATTATTCTGTAGTCTACACCGATACATTACAGGGATACTAGGATTTTTTTCAAAGTTGTGCCGTCTACAACAAATAACTTTCTGTAATACTGGATCAATAACTGGCAAAGTAAGGCCAAATATTTAATGAAGGATTTTTCTTCTGGTTAGCAGAAGTGGAACAGGTGTCAAATTCAATAACAGCATCCAATAAGAGAATGGGGAAAAAAAAAACTGCAAACACAAGCTGATCCTCATTAAACTTAGTATGCATATATATATCTGTGCATTTGTGTGTGCAAGAGAGAGAAACTCACCTTCAGTTCGTCAATTTACATATGCAGGATGTCTGGTTGTGGGAGAAAAGATTAGATATACTTACCCTGGACGGGCTTGGATGTCCTCCATTCCCCCAGGACCCTGAGCTACTTCTGTCTTCTACATCTAGGGACAAGAGAAAAGTTCTTTAGGCTTTCTTGCAATAATTCTTCCTTTTTGTACATGCACTTTTAAATTAATGTTTCAAATTAATCTCCTGTTGCCTTTAATTAAGAATCAGGCACAGGGCTACCACGATGATAGTGGCTTTTGACCCATCTACTTAAATTAACTCATTTAAATTCACAGCAGAAATGAACTGGACCCTCAGGAACCAGAGGTATGAACATAAAAATTACTTCCATCCTTCAGTGTTTCATAGCCTCAACTTTTATAGACATGAAACTGCACTTAAAGTTTTATTAAGATCTTTTGTACAAAATAAGTTTAAAATGACACTAATACAACCTTAAATGTATATTTTAAAAGGTAAGTTAAGGCAAATATTCACACCAACATTAGCAGCATCTGTGCCATAATGCTCTTGGATATTTCTTGTTCTTTAGCCAAGGCTTATTACATTAGACAACAGACATGCAACAAAATACACAAGACAAAAAGCGGATTCAGCAGTCTATTTCCACCAGTACATTACAAGGATATTAGAATGTGGTTTTTTTTGTTAATGTTTTAAGTAAAGACAACACTGTCTCAGTATTTTAATTATTTTAATAGATTTGACCACTTGGCTACAATCCTTAATCTGGGCATTGAGATGTGAAAATTAAAGTCGTTAAAGCCATGTTTTATCTTGATAAGTGATAGCGAAGAGACCTATATGAACTACCACAAGTGGAAATTCTTCTAAACTCTGGACCAGCAAAGTTCTAACGCTGAGCACACCATCACGGCTTCAAGTGGCAAAATGCTCAGGCTGGAGAGTACTGCAGTGAAGTTATCGTATCAATTGCTTTAAAACATAAAAGTGTTCTAAAGATCAGTCACTCTATATTTAGAAATGGCTTTGAGATTGTTGATGAAAGGTCCTTTATAAGTATAAAAAGTTTCACTGTTCTATTATTTTGATCATGGTCGATCAAACAGACGGCCATCACAAACCTCCTCTGACAGGACTGGAGGAGGTGTGAAACTTCGGTTCAGGAGACATAACCCCATTCATTGTGTTTCCTAACATTTCAGTGATACTGTTTATTCTCCTAATGCACCACTGTCTTTCCTTTTATTACTGCTATTTTATTATCAGAAGAAATAATCACAGTATAATTAGTTGATTTATTTTTGGGTACACTGGAGCACGCAGCGTTTTAGAGTCTCTTAAGAGATGGGATAGCAGCAACAAAAAACAATTACCACTAAACTTGAATTCTTTCTTTTTTTTTTTTTAAACAAATATTTCTGTTCCTTTTGTGGGTGCTTCAGGAGATAATGCAACTGCAAACAAATGTCCCCCACGGACAGCTAAAATCAGTGACTGTGAGCTTTAAGGGACGTCAAGAAAGCTCTGGGTAGTGCATCCAGTCTGGAGAGAAGGTGCAACGCTTTCCCTAAATCTGCTGTTTAACAACCTCATCTCCTGGCCTACGGGTATGCCGAACTGAAATACTCACAGAAGTGACTTAGAACCCTCTGGATTTGGGAGCTGAATCCTTATATTCTATAAGATTTCATATTGTTTGGACCCATTTTACCTTTCCAATTTTCAAGGAAATTTTTAAACACCAAAAGCAGGCAGAGACAAGGAAGAAAGAGGAATCGTTCTCACATGTGGGGTGATTTTGGACCCCAGAAAGCATTTGGCAATGTCTGGAGACATTTTTGGTTGTCACAACATGGGGTGGGGTGGGGGTGGGGCAGTGCCCCTGGCATCTAGTGGGTAGAGGCCAGGGGATGCTGCTAAACATCCTACAAATGTTAGAATGCCCCCCGCCACACACACACACAAAATGCTCTGTCCCCAAGTGTCAGTTGTGTCTAGATTGAGAAGCCCAGTGCTGAGGGAAAATCACACTAAAGAGCAAAAAGGAAGATGCGAGTTGGAGAAAAGATGTACTAGAATTTAATTTATAGTTTAGTATGAACTCTTACTAAATACACAGTGACTTATGCCTTTTAACCCAGACTTGAGCTGGAGTGTTTCAGGAGACCTTCATAAACATCTTCTGTCCACAGAATAAAGGGAAAATGATGGTCAACCAAGCAGCCTGCTAATTAGCGGGCAGATAAAACACATCAAAACTTGAGTATTCCCAACTGGGCAATTTCAAAAGCGAGCAATCCACTAATTAAAAATGCTGGAAGTCTAGCTTTTTCAAAACAGGTTAAATACTGGCTGGGTTCCTTCACAAATAGATTCCCAACCAATCAGATCTGACTGCTCTTTTCCCATCCTTTCTCATTTCCATCTTTCTCATTTCTGCTTCCTTTCTGCTTCCTCCCTTTTACTGATCTCTTTTTAACAGGCTTTTCCATCCCCGGGACTTTTGCTAGATCTAACAGATAAGGACCAATCTCTAGCTCTCCCAAACCTACTAGACAATTGTATGATTTCGGATGATACTTTTTTCTTTGAAAAAGTATCTGTTTAGCTGGGTGCTCCTTTATCCAAGAGCAAGAAGCCACAGAGGGAGAGCACTAAGATTTTTATTCATAATGAATGTCAACATGTTGCTTTTAAGTCATTTCTTTCCATCTTCCCTCCCACTGAGCTTCATCAGGACTGCCAGTTGGTTAGTGAGCATTTCCTCAACAACTATTCCAGCACATCTCAGAGGGCATCTGAAGACCCCCTACATGTGGATTACCTGTATATTCATTTCAAAATCAGCATCTTGGGGTCCACTGCAGACCAACTGAGTCTGGATCGCTCATGAAAACTGTGTTTTAAACAAGGTCCCCAAGTCATCTGCATGTGCACAGTAGTTTGAGGACCACCAGCCTGCCTTATCAGGAACACAAGACAGATGCATGCCCCACACCATCAACACGTGCCTCTCTCACTCTAGATCTTCAAATTTCCGCCAAGGTTGCCAGTTTCAGCAGCATTCAATACACATTCCCATCACATCTGTGTCCAGATGCACCTGCATCTTGCCCAGACTCACTTTTTAGAAACCTGCACGTGGCCTACTCGTGGCCATTCCTTACCCCCTGCTGGTGTACGCCAGTGCTGCACACACTTCTATATCTCCATGGTTTTGTACTTGCTATTCCCTCTGCCTGAACTGTTCCATCTCTCAAAGAATCATAGCAGCTAATGTTTAGTGAGCTTAAATACGCATCTGACACTGTACTAAGCACAAGCACTTCCATGCACTAACAGTACCCCCATTTCATAGATGAGAACATTGAGGCTTCGATGGAACAGGAAACTCTCTCAAGCAACCAGCAAACACAGGTGATGACAACAGCAAAGCCAGGGAGTGCTCTTTTCCAACACTGTAAATGCCTCCCTGGAAAGAACTTCATTTCTTTCCATGACCATCTTGAAGGTTACTTCTCACAAGTCTTCCCAGGCAGAGTGAAAGTATTTAGGAGTTTAGGCCCATTCTTGGGTCCATAAAGGGTTAAAGAATTATATACAACACAAATATATAAAAGTAAATATTTGAAGAAATCAAGAGACTGGAAAATAAAAATAGGGGGACAGTAAAGCCAGAGGTATGATGAGCTTATCAAAATGTACACTGTGATGGACTGGATACTTGCTAGAAAGGGGTCAAAATTCTACAAGGTACTGAGTGGGCAACACAACAAAGAGTGAAACAAGATTCACAATGAGTATGGGATAAAAGCACACAAATAGTTCAGGAAATCCATTAAGGCAACATAGTAACAAATGAAAAACTGCCCAGGATAGAGGCTGTCTGAACATTTAATTCCCGCCTCTCCCTTGTCCTACTGTCACTCTCCATCCCAGATGGGAATAAATAACAGAAACACAATAATAATCCGGGCAGCAGAAGGGAAAGGAAAAAAGCAAGTGAATGACAGAAATTATTCTTCCAAAATACTAAAATGGGTTCCATTTTTCCAGTCTTTTCTAATTTATTTTACCCTACCTAAATGAGGACAGACTTAGTAACTTCTATGGGATTGACAGCTGGTTTAGGAGGCAACCTGACAATCCACAAAATTTCATTCTAATAGAGTAGTTCTGCATAAGCCCCTCTAAAATATCTGACATTTCCACACCAAAACACAAAAGCAAAGTTTAGGCAGAACTAGGACCAAACACTCCATTCTGAGAAAAGACACACAGAGGTAATTTTTAATTTCTATGATTCGCCATCCACATTCATTAAACTTATGATTTGATTACTCAAATCTCCACTTTGCTTATGATGTGTAAGATCGAAACTATCAGATAGACTGGACAAATGTCAGAAAACACAGCCTTGGGAGTTGGGATAGAGACTCAGATTTCACCAGGCACTCTGCATTAACAAGCTGTGTGGTCTGAGCCAATCACTGCCTCTCTGAACTCACTTTTGTCAACTATAAAATAAGTGGGTTTGAGCTGCACCCTTGGAAATAGGGAAATTCTAGTATATTGGACAACTCTCCCACACACAAAAAAATTTAAATGATGGATAAATTTTTAAAAATCTTCTTTAAAATACTAATAAGCTGAGAGGATAATAAGGAATTATCAAGCCAAAATCAAATTGAAGGAAGAGAAGACATTTTTGCCCTAAGGACATCTGCCAACCTAGAAAATTTAATGGCCTCTTAGGTCAAGCAAAACAGAAGCGAAAACCCAGGACCCATCCAAAGTAGGTATCTAACAGAAGATAACGGGGATAATAGGATTTCCAACCTCAAGGAGTTATTGTAAAAGTAAGTAAGTTAGGTAATATTTTTTAAACACTTAGGGGAGTACCTGGTCCATAGCAAATTCTCAGTAACCAACACCTGCCCATGAGAGCATAACTTATTATGCTCTAAGATAAGCAAACTATGTAAATTTGTAAAATGGTGATTTATTCAAAGAAATCTGAGTCTCACATTTTTATGACCCCTAGTTCTGCTCAACAGGTCAGAGACTTTCAAATATTCTCCTGGATTTTAGAAACAGCCAATACGTTTAGGGTAAACAAATCCCACCT